TTGAGAGACTTGGATCAAGAAGTAGAAGTAAACACAGAAGCATGGTTGTCTTGGCTGATATTTTTTCTACCAGAAAGCCCCTCCAGTGCAGATCTCCAGTCTAGACACAGGTGCAGGTGTTAGGGAAACTGGACTAGGGAGCTCTGGGCTTAGGGTCTGCATGGCAGAGGCTGCCAGAGCTCCCCAGGATCTGTCCTCCCTCCTTCTTTCAGAGAACATTGCTAAACTATTTTTCCAAGTCTTATCTGAAGTTAGTAACGGCCCTGTGACTGGGCTGTAGTCAATGGGATTTGAGTGAAGGGATGTCATAACCTTCAATTTGGGCCCATAAAAACCTTCCAGGAGCAATTCTCACTCTCTCTTTTCCCAAGTGCTGACAGAATGCAGAGAGTTCCAAGGACTTGAAGGAGGGTACAGCCATTAGAAGGAGACTTGATCTCTGCAAGGTTTTGTGGAGCAATTTCCCTATTGACTTACATTGGAAATAAACTTTTATTGGGTTAGGCCATGGAGATTTGGGGGTTGTTTGATAAGCTGTTAGCTTACCCTGGTTGCTGGAGGACTCAATTCAGATCTCCCTCTTTGCATAAATCCCCTCTAACTATTCCAGTCCATACAGATCTTAGAACTAAAAACACATGCCATCTGATTCATTAAACTATGTGTTTAATCATGTACTTTTTTGCATTATGGTTTAGCCAAATATTACCCAAACTGTATTCCATGGAACACTACCATTCACGATAATGTTGCTAGGTTCTCCATTAAAAAAAGGGTGCCATAGATAAATGAGTTTGAGAAACATTAGTTTGAAGGGGCTTCATTTTTGCAGGACTTTTCAAAGCCTCTAATGAGATAATGAGACTTGCATACACTTAAAATGGAGTTCTAGAATACAGCATTTCTCCCTTTGGTCATGAGTTTTTTTTATAGACTACAGTTTGGGAATCACGCATATGACCCTTCACCTGTATAAATAGTCATCCCTTAGTATCCGTGAGGGATTGGTTCTAGGACTCCCACCATGGGTACCAAAATCCACGGATGTTCCCTTATGTAGTCTTTTATAGGCCGGCCCCACGGCCTAGTGATTAAGTTCAGCGTGCTCTGCTTGAGTGGCTGGGGTTTGGTTCCTGGGCATGGATTTACACCACTTGTTGGTGGCCATGCTGTGGCAGTGACCCACATATAAAATAGAGGAAGACTGGCACAGATGTTAGCTCAGGGAAAATCTTCCTCAGAAATAAATAAATGAATAAATAAACAAATAAATAAAGTCCCTTATATAAAGTGGTATAGTATTTGCATATAACCTATACACATCTTCCCATATACTTTAAACCATCTCTAGATTACTTATAACCCCTAACACAATGTAAATGCTATGTAAATAGTTGTTATACTGTACTGTTTAGGGAATAATGACAATAAAAAAGTCTGTACATATTCAGTACAGACACAACCATCATAGGTCTTTCAATGTGGAACCCATGAATCCGGAGGGCCGACTGCATATCTTGTGCCTCCTATGAGGTTGCAAGTCATGAGGTAGTGAATATATTTTGTTCTGATACTCTCAAAGTATAAAGTCAAATATCAAAGTCAAAAATATCAAAGTCAAAAGTATAAAGCCCAATGCACACAGTTCCTCAGCATCAGTGTGAAAAGCTTGTCCTGGGGAAGAGGTAGGTGGAAGGCTTTAGGGAGGCCAAGATATATGAATTAGGCCTCAAATAGATGTTTGCCAACAGGGAGAGAACAGGTGGAAGGATAAGGAAGAGCAACCCGGTAAAGAAAACAACATGGGCAGGAGCACAGATGCCGGGAAATGGTCAGAGAAAGGAGAGGCAACTTTAGAAATGGAAACCAAGCAGACCTTTCGGGATTCTGCCTGCCAAGCTTCCAGTTGTATCCCAGTCCCCTCTGGCCTCCCTTTGGGAAGTAGACACACTTCCTCCCTCTGCCCCACAGCTGGAGGCCCCTGGAGGGCAGAGATCATGTTTCGTTAATCATGTCAACCCCCTTTCCTTTACCTGGCCCCGGACACAGTTCACATACCCGTGAGGCCACACAGCCCTGAGAGTTCTCATCTGAAAATGAGAAAGTACAACCTTCCCAGGATGGTTTTAACACTTAAGTTTTAAAAATGCAGGTAAAGCATTTAGCACAAGGCCTTACGTACAGTCCCTGCTCAAGAAACGTTAGTTATGAATATCATTTGCTTGATAAATGTTTGGGGAAGGAAGAAAGGGAGAGGGGAAGAAGGGAAGGCAAGAGACTGGCAGCAAAGGAAAGAAGACAGGACGGACAAGAATACAGCTACCCTACTTCATTTTCCCACTTGACTAACACTGGAAGGCAAATGCCTTTTACCTTCTGTTTCAGGAACAACCTTTCTTGGTCTCATTTCTCAACGTGGCTGTTTTGGAGGCCCTGAAGTGAGATGCTGGGTCAAACATCAGTGCATCCTGCCAAGGGCAGGGGTCAGGGGAAGATGAGATCAGTCTGAACACCAGGGGACAGAGTGGAACAGAGGGTCCTTTCAGGAAGAACACCAGCATCATTCCTCGCACACTGAGGCCAGGGCCTGTGGGGCCTGGAGGGCCAGGGGAAGCACCCTGGATGGTTTACTCCGTCCTTGGCCCAGCCGTTCTCAGGATCTGATGAGAATCCACAGGAAGGAACAGAGAGAGCCTGGCCTCCTCATCGGAGGGACTGTGTACAGGATAAATTGTATTTTTATGATAAAATTCATGACACTGAGAGGCCAGGGAGCCAAAGAAATGGGTTGGGTCCATAAGGAGAAATCAATTCCAGAGGGTTTTAAGGCCAGGCCCATCTGCCTGGAGGTGACACAAGGATAAGGGAGGGAAATGCCATGTCTGTGGCCTGGCCTCATCCCCCATGGTTCCAAATAAGCCGAGGTGGCCAATGGAAGGGGCAGGAGGATGGGAGGTTGTACGAGGAGAAAATAGCCTGATGGACTGATCTCATGGACCGGGTTGAAGGCATCAAGACAGCTTTTCCAGAGAAAGGATATCTTTGGAGGTGCTTTGCTCCCAAACCCCACAGACAAGAGACTCCAGACGAAGACCTGGCAAAGGAGATACAGAGCTTCTCCTGGAGGGGCGTCTGTACTCGCAGGCTCCACGGAAGTGGCTACACCATTCCCAGGAAGATGGAACAGGGATCAAAGTCCTCCAACCTTACCTTTGTTTTTTTGGGGGGAGAGCATATTTAAGTAATGTATATTAGGAGCCTTAAATACAATTTCTACTCCTAGATTAAGTGATTTCACAAGTAAGTATCAAAGAAGCTATGGGGAGTCCACATTAAGATGCACAGGCAAGAACATTCACTGCAGAGTTATTATAATAACAAAAGATTGGAAACCTCTACACACTTGCCATTGGAGGCTGGTTAGTAAGTTGTGGCACTGCATTAAAAAAATCTCTACACATACACACACATATGTACACGCGTATATATGTATAAATAGAAGAGAGAGAGAGAGAGAGATGAGGGGACAGAAGAAAGGGGGAGAGAGGAGGAAGGAAGCACACCAAAATGTTAATATTATTTTAAGACAGTGTGATAATACACGATTCTTTTTCTGTTTTGAAGGCTGGGAATGGGGAGGGAATTCACCTTGGTTTCTGTTTATAAAATACATTCTCGTTGTAAAAAAAAATTGCAGAATACTACCAAGAGAAAACGAGAAATAACTGAAATTAGGGGTTATCGTTATTTTCTTTCTCATGCTTTTCTGTGTTTTTCACCTCCACGCTAAGGGGTTTACTATGTGAAGTAGAACAAGCAACAAGTGCTCATATTTGAAACTGTCAACCTACCCCTGAAATAGCTCTCTGTTTGTTTCTGTGAAAAGGCCTGAATTTCTGCCACTGGCTAGACGTTTGTCTTCAGGCACTGTGAGCGCTCGGTTAAGAGTCTACAGACGCAAAGCTTAGCAGGGAACCTTAGAAAGGTCATTTACTTGCGAGGGGCCTCAATGAATCTGTCTGTAAAATGGGAACAACTGCTTTGCTTACTGAAAAGAGCCTTTGTGATGAGCAAGTTCCCAACTTATGCGACTATAAAGACCCACATAAGTGTGCGGAGAAAACAACTCCTGATGGCATGCTGACACCCCCATTGAGTCGCACTAAACCATTGCCGATGAAAACATCTTCCAAGTCACTTAAAGATCAAGGAGCCATTTTCCTGGGCAGAAAATCAAGGACAGTCAACAAGATGGAGGCACTTCTCCCCTACAGAGGCTGTCAGAACTGGCCCTGAGCCCAGCCTGGGCTGCTCTTCCCCAGAAGCCTCTGCCCTACAGAAAAGACCGATAAAATCTCCCACCCTGGTCCTCTACTCAGAAACCATTCAAGGATCCACTCCTCTGTCCACAGACACAGGACACAGTCCAAGTTCTTCACTGTCTGGTACATCAGACCTTTTAGAATCTAACCCTCACATCCAACGCACCAGCCAGCCATTCCACAGTATTCCTCATACTTTCAGGACTCCGAGCCTTTGCAGATACTGTTCCCTTAGCCTATAATCCCTTTCTTTTCCTTATTTGACTAGCATCTTCTACTCAGTTTTTAAGATCTAGTTCCAGTGTCACCACTCCCCACTGTCTCCCTGTACCTGGTAGAGTTGTTAGCAAAATTTACTGTCTCCAAAGCACTTGAATTAAACCTCTGTAATTGTACAAAGTCAGAAATAAAGATAGTTTACGTGTGTGTGTGTGTGTATATGCACACTTACGTACATATATCATATATAAACAATAGTGTCTGGACAGTGATCCATATTTGCTCCTACAATCATAATGACCATGATAATGATGGTGGTGATGATGGATGAGTAGACACTCAATAAATGTTTGTTGTACAAGCAAACAAAGGAAGACATGTTGTTCCAAAGAGGGGATGAGAGTGGTATGGGGGAGGGGAGGAAGTGAGAGAATCTCATCTGAGGGGCCATGGACTCACCGGGTGGTCTGCGTCCAGTTCCGCTCCATAGCTGAGAATCTGATTGGCAAACCTGTCCAGCTCTTGGATGGTTCTCGGGAACCAGGGCACTGCAACACAGAAAGGGCAGGATACCGAGCGGCAGACTGGCAGGATACAGGCAAAGGCCCCACCAGGGTCAGAAGCACGGCATCAGTCCCAACGAGTCAAGTCAATGGTGGTGGCAAGTGGTGTCTGATAACCCCCAAATCATTCAAATTCAAAGGTTAAATCCCATTTTCCTTGGAAACTGATTTTATTTCTTTTTCTTATATTGGCTTTATTGAGGTATAATTGACAAATAAAATTGTGAGATATTTAAGTGTGCATTGTTGCGATTTGATATATGTATACATTGCGAAAGGATTCCTTAATATAGTTGATTAGCATATCTATCACCTCACACATATTTATCTTCTTTGAGGGGTAGGAACATTTAAGGTCTACTCTCTTAGCAAATTTCAATTATACAACAGTGTTGTCAACTATAGCCACCATGTTGAACATTAGATCCTCAGACCTCATTCCTCTTATGACTGAAAGTTTGCACCCATTTACCAACCTCTCCCTATTTCCTTACCTCCCAGCTCCTGACAACCAGTTATCTACTCTGTTTCTATGAGTTTAACTTTCTCTGTTGTCGTTTTTAGATTCCACGTATAAGTGATCCCATGTGGTATTTGTCTTTCTCTGTCTGGCTTATTTCACTTGGCACCTCGGAAACTAGCTGTATAAAGCATTCCCAAACATATTCTCTTTCCTGGAGATTTTCTCTGAATTATCTCAAAATTCATCTCCCTCCCACCTATCATAGTATTTTGATGATTTTCTTTAGCAGCAGAATAGTACATGTAACCCCAGGATATAAATTAGATAAAAATGGAGCTATTCTAGTGTAAACAAGGGTGGGCCCATGAGACCCCATCTGGTGGCCCCATCTTCCTACCTTGTGCCTCCCTCCCACAGGCCTCCAGGCACCCCAGCAAAATATTTTGATGCCAAAGCCAATTTGAAAGCCACTGGTGAAGCGGAGGGAATACAGTCAGGTAGTCTGGGATATGACGGTGCCTTGCAGGACCTAAAGAATCTGTGGGCTTGCTTTTAAATCAGCATAGTGGGGAGAAGATAGGGCCTGAGTTGTGTGGCCTACAGTGACCGGGTCTTGCACAGAGAGGGACCTCAGAGGGAAGAGCAGGTGTTAGCACCCAAATTCCTATGGCCTACAGGAAAGAAGACACACTGGGGGTGGAACTATCCCAGGAATGAACAGAGACTAGGACATTGTGGACAGTAGGACATGAGCGTACTTCCAGGTGCATAGAGGGAAAGGAAGGAGGGAGGGAGCGCAAAAAGGAAGAAGAAAGGAAGGAAGGAAGGAACTCTGTTATGTTAAGATGTAAGGCACCAATAGCAACCACCGCCCACAGAGTGTCAACTCTGGTCTAATTGCTGTTGTGGAAGTATCTGTAAAACAAGGAAGGCATTATGTTCTACCGTACAAATGAGAAACTGAGGCTCTGAAGGTCTACATAATTGACTTACACAGGAACTAGGAGAGTGGTAGGTCCCAAAAGAAACCAGACAGTAAAAGTAGACATGGTGGGGGCCATGAGATGAGCCCAAGGTGTCCAATGCTTCCCCTGACGTGAGGTTTAGGGGAAAAGATGCTAAACTTGCAGTCAGTCAAGTCTGGCTTGGAATTTCGGCTCAATCTGCCTACTTATCCTCTCTGTGCCTCAGTCCCAACTCTGTAAACTTTGGAATAACAGCAACAACAATAGGAAGAACAGCTAACATATTTTGAAGTCTTACCATGCGCGAAGTGCTTTGCTTAGCATTTTTGGTGGAATATCTCCGTTGATCTGAGGATTGCTGCCAGGAGTAAATGAGAATGTAGCAAAGGGTGCAGCCCAAGGTCGGGCCCATAAAAGGTTGCTTTCCATCTCATGAATGTGCTTTCTAATTCTGGCCCTGCTCAGCTTGGGCAGGAAAGAACATGCCTGCCACCTAGTGGCCAGATTGGAAAAATGTCATCTGTGGTCAATAGATGACAGCGTCAGACAGGAACCAGCTGCATTCCACCAAAACAATGAGATGCTTATCTCAACAGCATCCATAAAGGTCTATTTAGAGCCTGTTTCCATAGACCTGAGATGCAAAGCTCTCTACTGCCTATGTTAATAATAAAAATCAGCACTGAGCACTGTTCCAAATTAAGAGTACTGGTGGGTACTATTGGTCTCATATTATAAACAAGGGAACAGGTACAGAGAGGTTAAGTGGCAAACCCAAACACACACTGCTAGGAAACAGCAGAGTCAGAATTCAAACTCAGGCATGGCTGACTCAGTGGTCTCAGGTCTTGACCATGAACCCATCCTGCCACTTATGGAGGGAGCAGAGCACACTGTTAGGAGGGCCGCCTCTGGAGCCTGACTGCCCGATTGTCTTCGCAGTTGCCCTCTTGGCAGGTTCCCTGCCCCTAAGCCAGTCCACTTCTCAAGATCAGCTCCCTGTGATAGTACTACTGGGAGCAGACGCTGTCACTGTAATTCCAGCAAAGGCTTATGTAGGACTTGCTGTGTGCCAGGCACTGTCCTAAACACTTCACATACACTACCTCACCCAATCCCCTAACAGCCCCAACAGGTGGGTGCTATTATTATCCTCATTTTATACCGATGAGGAAACTGAGGAACAGAGAGTGTAAGTCTCTTCACAGATCTCCTTGGTCCCATCTGCTAGACTTTGGAGTCTGGGATGACTCAGCACCAGGCTCTGCTCACCTAGCAGGGAACCTGGCTTCCTACTTTGTCATCTAAACTTCTCCCCAAGCTTTCCTTTCTCCTTGAGTCTAGCACTTTGCCTTGCACAATGAACCTCTATTGTCAGCCCTGAAAATGGGGTCTATTTCCTATGCAGGTTTGCAAGGGCTTGAGAAAGAACATCCTATTATAGTCAACCAAGGCTCAGGATCTCCTCTGAGGCCATTCCTGTTTCTCCAGAACGTTGCCATCCCATCACCTCACTTCCAAGGCCTCCCTTCCCCACTCATTCATTGTCTCTCTTTTGCCTGGGAATCAACCACAATTCCGGCAGTAGCAGCTGCCCCCAGAAATAGGGCAAGCCAGCCCTTTCTCACTGCACCACTTTCTGACTCAGAGGAACCTTAGACTTGCCAAAGGAGATTCCACAAACATGTACTGAGCTCCTACTACAACCAGGCCCTGGATGTTCATAGGCGAACACAATGGACTCTTCACTCCTTGTGGTGCTTACATTCTAGTGGGGGGCGGCAAGAAATACACAATACATAAATTTAAATACATAACGATGCCAGGAAGGTCCTGAAGAAGGAGAAAACAGTGTAAGGAGATGGAGCGGAATGGGGACACTATTTCATATGACATCCTTTGGCTCCAGACCCCAAGGTGAGTGTCTTGGTGACCTGACACTGACTTGCCACAGTTCAAGGGGATCTGGGACAGCCAGGGGCCGTCCTCAGTCCCGAGCTGGCTCCCCATTTGTCTCAGGGAGAGTCAGTCCAGCAATGGCTAATGGACTGGGCCACAGAGCCAGACAGCCTAGGCTGGAATGCTGTCTCTGCAGTCAGAACAAATTATTAAAACTCCTTGTGCCTCAGTCTTCCTATCTGTAAAACAGAAATAATAATAGCACTATAAAGCACCACTTTGTAGGAACAATATGAGGTTAGATGAGTTAATGCATGTGATTTGCCGAAGCCAGTACCTGGCACGCTATTATTGCTCAGCTACAGGCCCCAGGGAATTTTTGTCACTCTGCCCTTGCCACAACATAGCACAGAGAGTAGGGTAGAAAGTCTTCCAGCAATGCCAGACAGTCTGCCACCTATTTCGTTCTGTAATTGAGCAAGTGTTTTATCTCCTGAGCCTTCATTTCTCTATCCACAAAATGGATTAAAATTCTTTTTCTGTATCACTGCATTATTGCCTGCACGAAATGCTTTAGCAAATGGGACCCATCTTAGCACAGTGACTGGCCCACAGTAAGCGCTCATCACTTAGGATGACAAAGATTTTAATGAGGATAATAAAAAAGAAGAAATTGAGGAGGAGGAAGGGGAGGAGGAAAGAAGGGAGACTGGAGTCAGAAGCCAGTTCTCAGTCCAGCTCTGATGTTAACAGGCTTTCTCATCTTGGGCCTCAGTTTCCCCCTCCATAAAATGCAGGGTGTTGGATGCATTGTTGCTGCAATCCCTTTTGGGTTTCATGCTCCGAGACCTGTGGAATCCGGTGAAAGGCTGAGGCTGGCCAGAGGACACATGAAGATACACTTCCAGTTCAACCAATGTGTTAACCTCACTTGTTTCTGAAAGTAGAGTCATTACATATGTCCAGCTCCCAAAATGCACTGCCCCTACCATTCTGCATTCTCCTCTCACCAGAGAAACAAGGTTCTACGCCACAGATAGAAGCCTTTCTGCGCCCAGCTGGATTTACAGCTGAGCCTGCTGGCTGTCTCCCAACCGAACGCCAGAGGGCAGCAGAACCAGCTAATTTTCAGCTCAGGGTGACTTTTTTTTCCCTTTCTCCAAAAGGAAAACACTAACAGGACCACATGGCTTAGCTCAGACCTCTTGTGGCGGAGGGGGGGGAATCGAAGAACTTGAGAAGGTTGCAAAGACCTGAAGGCTTCAAGTCTTGGCAAAGAGCGGACAAAGGTCGAAGCAGCCCACCAAGTCCCAGGTCCTTGTCACAGACTGTGAGGGACCCTAGGTGGCACTGTGAGGCCAGGGGCACTCACCCAAGTCCAGGGGCCTCCAGTGGCTCTGGGCCCTGTCATCATGCAGAAAAGGCCCAGAACACAGCCAGGCTGGAGAAGTGGCACAGCTTGGTGGCTAAGCCCATTGACTCTGGAGCCAGACTGCCTGGTCCAAATCTTGCCTCTGCTACATCTTAACTTGGGGACTTTTGGGGCAAATTCCTGAATTTCTTTGTTCTCCAGTGTCCCATCTGTAAAACCACTATAACAATAGTATGTACTTGCGACTTTGTGAGGATTAAAATGAGCTAATGCATGAACAGCGCTG